CTTTTAGACAGATGCCCCTGAATGATGTTCTCCCCGGCTCACAGAGGTGAGTGGGGACCTATCCTACCCCCAAGTTTCAAGGTAATGAAAGAGACAGATGGGAAATGAATCAGCTCTGTTCAGCTTTTAGTCACCTACTGGGCATCTGTAGGCCCAAATGAGGAGTTGGACAAAGCTCTCAAGTCCCTGACTGCCTCAGAAGCGAACCAAATGTGCTCTTCCTGAATAATAGGCTAGGGGTCTGGAGTTTGCCCTCTGCCCCCACGGTGGTCCCTGACTGCATCACTTCTGCTCAAGGCTACAACTCTTGTCATGCAGCATTCCCTTCCCCTCCCATCCTGTTCCCAGCTAACAGTTTTGTCCCCTCAGCCAAGTGACAGTACAGGTATTGCACCACCTCAAGGTGCCTTCCCTTGGCCCACAGCTTTATTCATTTATTTTTTGGTACTGGGGATCGAACTCGGGACCTTGCACTTATGAGGCAGGCGATGGAACCGCTGAGCTAAAGCCCCGGCCCACAGCTTTGTAAACACCGCCTAAGTCTTCACGCTCTGGAGTGAGGTGGCTGCTCCTACCGGGCTTTGCCTGACACACGGTGTTTGACACTGGTGGTCCCAAAGACAAGCTCAGCAGGAAGTGCCTGTGAAGGCACAGGGAGTATCTCATAGGAACAGCAGGCCAGCACAGAGGGTGCAGGGCTGTCTCAGGCCGGGGAGTCCCTGAGAGAGGGGCGACCTCAGCAGGTTTCAGAGCATGCATGATGATACACTTGAAGAGAACGAGTTAGGTAGCTGTGTGTTGAGTGGTTTAGAAATAGGAGATTGGAGGTGACTACCTCCAATTACAATGACAGGAAGATAACATTTTACACCTATCAGCTTGGCAAAGATTCAGAAATCTGACAGCACGTGGTCTTGATAAAGATGTGAACAGCACTGTCAGGAGTTGCTGGTGTGTGTGTGAATTGATAAACATCTTGGAAGGCAAGGTGATAATATCAATATTAGATAAATCTTCATAGCCTGTCCATCCAGCAGTTGCAGGCCTAAGTAGTTAGCCTACAGATGTAGTTGCACACATGACAACAATTTATGAAAAAGAGTATTTACCCTACCATTTTTCTTTTTGGTCCCGGGGATCAAACTCAGATCCTTAAGCTTTCAAGGCAGGTGGCAGAACCACTAAGCTAAATCCCTGGTCCCTTGACCTACCATTTTTCTAATGGCTAAAGATCAGAAACAACCTTATTGTTCATCAGCTAGAGGCTGGTTGAATAGAATTGCACAGTGTATAACAGCAGAGCAGTGAAGAGAAACAATGACTCTATCTGTACTTAGATGGGAAGATCTCCAAAAATAAAGGTAAGGACAACACCAAGATGTGGATTAGCACATATAGCAGTGACACCAAACCTTAGTTTTCAATGATACAAACAGCCCACTGTGGCTCGCGTGCCATCAGTTCACCACCACAGATAGGCTTCTATTTGGATCTGGGAATAAAAGGATACAAAGTATTACACATGAATGTAAAAATGCACAGACCAAAAAGATTCAAAAGGAACTGATGAGGGGTGATTGTTCTCCAAAGAGAACCAAAGGGCTTGAGACAACACAGAGATTAATTTTTTTTACTCTAATCCTTTTGTACCTTTATGTGAATTATCTATGTATGTAAAAAAAAAATCATTGTACTTTTTTTGTTTTTGTTTTTTGAAACAGGGTCTTACTATGTAATCCAGGCTGGCCTCAATGATCTTCCTGCCTCAGCCTCTTGAGTGCTGGGATTACAGCTGTGTGCCACCACAACTGGCTTGTACTGTCATTTTAAATCAAACCTCTACTATTTTTTTTTTCCCTCACACTGGGAATCAAGCCCAGGGAGGGCTGGGGATTTGGCTCATTGGTTTCGTCACCTGCTGCACAAGCGCAAGGATCCCCGGTACCAAAAAAAAAAAAAAGCCCAGGGCCTTTGGGCTAAACTACATCTCCAGCCCTCCCCCCCTTTTTTTGGTACTGGGGATTGGACTCAGGACCTTGCATTTGCGAGGCAGGTGGCGGCACTACTGAGCTAAATCCCCAGCCCTTAGCCCCTTTTATTTTTTGAGACAGGGTCACTAAATTGCCCAGGCTGGACTCAAATTTGTAATCCACCCTCCCAGAGTGCTGGGATTACAGGTGTGTACCACCACACCTAGCCATCAAACCTCTACACTGATGTCAATTCTGACAGTCAAATTATGTATAGCTTTCTCAGTGGAGTACACACAACTGAGAGGTGCTCAATGATAAACAGTCTCTATAAGGAAGAATATATTTAGATACTAAGCATAAATTCAGCTTGGTTACTGGGTGAATAAATTGAATTGTCTTTCTTGCCTCTCCTGAAATTCAGTGTGGTCCTGACCCCCAGTACACTGGTATTAGGAGGTAGGCTTTGGTGGGTCACTAGGTCATGAGGACTCTGGGATTAGCAAGCACTCCCTTGCTGCTGTAGCCACATAAGGAAGCAATGGCGAGAAGACAGCAATCTCCCCAGTGTGAGGTGGACCCTCACCAAGCAACAACTCTTCCCTCCACTCCATCTTGGAGACCTCAGTCCCCAGAGCTAAATTCCATTGTTTATAAACTAGCCAGTCCATGGTGTTTTGACAACAGCACCCAAGGACCAAGACAATGGGTTGCATAATCTCTAAGATTAGGGCAAGGGCATCAGGATGGTTCGGGGCACAGCATTGAGACCCTGGTCATGGTTCCTAACACGAACCATTGTTCAGAAGGAGCAACTTCCTTCTGTGACTGCAGGGACCCGAGGTGGAGGGGAGGGATCTCATCCCAGGAGTCAGAACTCTGGACTGGAGAAGCTGGCTCTCAGGAGGGGGTGATTTGCCTCTAGAAAGGAAAATCTCCTTATTACCTGGGTGTGGTGGTGCATGCCTGTACTCCTAGCACTGGGGAGGCTGAGGCAGGAGGATTGCCATGAGTTCAAGGTCAGCCTGAACTATATAGCGAGACTTTGTCTCAACAACAACAAAAAAAGAAAGAAAGAAAGAGGAGAGAGAGAGAAGGAGAGGGAGAGGGAGAAGGGAGGGAGGGAGAAAGAAAAGAAAAAAGAAAAGAAACAAAGCTGGGAGATTTTTCAAATACTGAAAGGCACTAAAGGGGTGCTGGGTATGCCTTAATTTATTAGGTGAGGTTGGCAGAGTTCTGGGCCTAAAACTATGATCTTTAGGAAAGCAGCAGGTGTGAACTACTTGGCATAAAAGATTTGGAAAAGAAGATCTGGGTGTGGTGGCACATGTGGCTGTAATCCCAACACTTGGGAGGCTGAGACAGGAGCATCACTGCAAGTTCTAAGGCAGCCTAGGATACACACTGAGTTTGAGGCCAGCCTGAACTAAATAGCGAGACCCTGTCTCAAAAAATAAAGATTTGGAAAAAAAATCACTCAGGAAGGCACCCTGGGCTTGCTGAGCAACACTAAAAGCTCAGCTGAGCTTAGCTGGCATTAATTATAGTGTAAATGCTCTGATTTTGTGATGTCATCTCTTACAAATTTAGGTTTGTAAAACATCCAAGGGATTTTATTTGTGGTGATGGGGATCAAACCCAGGGCCTTTCACATACTCGGTAAGGGCTCTACCATTGAGCCATATCCCCTGACCAAATCCTTTTTCTTTCAAGACTAATCTTTGGGGAAAAAAATATATCTGTATTCACTTCCCATTAAAGAGAATTTCTGCCTCCATTTTGACTCTACCTAATATTTCCTTCTCTCACTTGTTACCTTGTTAAACTCCACCTATCCTAGAAACCACTTTAAATCCTCTTGGAATAAGGAAGAACATATAAATATTAAACATATAAATACTTTAAGTGTTTGAAATACTATTTGAAGTAACTATTAAAGAAAAGGCATGTATGCAGTTATGAGGTCACAAGACCCCAAGACATTCATTTTTAATTTTGAAGACAGAGGGTCTTGCTATGCAGCCCAGGTTGGTCTTGAACTCAAGGCAATCCTCCTGCTTCAGCCTCCCAAATGTTTAGGTCACAGGCATTCGCATGTCTGGCTGTTTTTTTGTTTTGTAGTGTTGGGAAATGGAACCCAGGGCCTTGTGTATACTAGGCAAGTGCTCAACCACTGAGCAACACCCCCAATTCCTTTACTGTCCCTTTTTCTTCCAAAAAAAGCTTTTAAAAATTATCCTACTATTATCCATTTAAGGGTGTTGGGTTTATAGAGCAGAAAGACAGAATTTAAAGTTATACAGCAAAATGAATGGAAAAATTAAAACACAGGTAGATGTCTCAACTTTTCTGTAAGATACCCAGCAGCATAATTTAACAAATGTGATGTGCCCTGACAGCTTTCTTCCCAATTCAGCTGACACTGCCAAATCGCTCTGCAGTAGTGGTTAAGAAAGTGGCTTGGAATACTCTTAAGTAAAATAAATAGGACACACGTGTAAATACCGAATAGTTTCTCTCGTGTGAAAAACTAAAAGTGTAAATAAGGATCAGAATTTCTAACTGATATTGTGAAATAGGAAGAAAAGGTCTAAAGGAGTAGGGGAAGTGGGAGGGGTAGGGGAAAGGAAAGAAGGGAAAAGAAAAAATATGAGAAAAGGGAAAAAATGGAAACAAAGTCTTTGTAAATAGGGAGGGGTGGAGGGGGTGAAGGGAGGGCAGGGGAATGGGGAAAAAAAAAAGAAAGTGGTTTGGAGCCAGACTCCATGGTTTCAATTCCCTGCCCACCACTAGAGCTGTGTGATTTAGGGCAAATTATTTATCAGTTTTTTCACTTGAAAAATGGTGCTAACAGGAACTACCTCCTAAGATTCTGAGGACTTAGTAAGAATATAGGGCTTAGTGTCTGTGGCACTTGAAGTGCACAAAAGATTGGTAGCTATTATAACTGTTTCGGGCCTTATAGTTGCTCTTACGATCCATCCAAAACTTTCTATCCAGCACTGGATTCCAGAAGCCCAGGCTAATGTGTAAAGACCGAAGAGGAGTTTTTTATTGGCCTGCTGAGAAACGCTTATGTAAGTCAAACCTTTATTCAAAAAACTTCTGTAAATGTTATTTTTGCACAGGTTGGGTACCATATTTCCTTATGAACCGGCTGCTCCTGCAGCCCTCCCGACTTTGCTTGTTAAACACTTATTGAAGACTTATTTTATCATGCTCTGTGGTCAGCTTCAGAACCAACACTACACTCTTTTCCCCTTATTGCTTCAAATTATCAGAGTCAAAGAAGTTGGCAGATATTCCCAAAATGGCAAAATGTTGTTAGATGTCAGGAATTTAACGGCCATCACAAAAAGGAGCCGATCACCGTCCTAAGTTGAAACTACTGAAAACATACAACTGCAGCTCCGCTGGCTGAAGTCCTTCCCACAAGGAAAGCATCTGTAGGTGGGGGAACAGAGTGCCACCGGCTCAATCCCACTCGATCCCTCGCTCCTCTTCAGGAAGAATACTCCAGTTTGGGGAGGCCACATCCCGCGCCAGCCAGTTGAAATCGTCAACATCGCTCCAGTTGTTTTTGCTCCTGTCTAAACCGGAGCCCTCGAAGTCCTTGTCGATGTCCTCGTAGCTCCAGGTATAGGGGGCGAAGCGGATCCCGCCGCAGTCCTCCACGATGGCCCTGCTGGTGACCTGCAGGAAGATCCGGGTGTCCCTGGTGGTGTGCACGCGGAGCTGCTGGCAGGCCACGGCCAGCACGCAGTCACTGCAGTCCTCCAGGAACACGGAGGTGGACACCGGGCCGCAGAGCACCTTGCAGCCGCGGGCCCTGGCCAGCCGCACGGTGTTGGGGTTACCGTACAGCCGGACGGTACAGCTGCTCAGCTCGCTCAGGAGGACGTCGCGCTGGCGCAGCTCGTCGGCTCTCATCTCCAAGACCTGGGAGTCGCGGTGGGAGAACCCGCAGGCCCAGCTGAGCGCGGGGGCTCCCCCTGCCTTCGAGGGCGGCGAAGGGCCCGCGACGCCTTCAGCCGGAGGGGCGTTGGCAGCCGCTCCTCCCCCGGAGACCGAGGCAGCGTCCTTCCTCCGCGCCTTGAAGGCGAAGCGCTTCTTGGGCTGCAGCTCCTGGCGCCGCTCGGCCAGGGCCGCCTGGAGCTGCGTCAGGGCCTCCTGTCCCTGCCGCAGGTCGTAGGCGGCCAGGAACCTTACCCCGTCGTTGAGAAGCTTCTGCAGCCCCTGCAGCCGGGCCGCCGCCTCCCCCAGCCGCTCCGCGGACGGCTCGCCCTCCAGCAGTTCCTGCACCGCCGCGCGCTCCCGGGAGAAGGCGGCGGCGAAGAAGTCGCTCTGCTCCTCTTCCACCACCTGGTCCTGCCGCTTCTGCTTCCGCCTTTCCACCTCCAGCTGCCGCTCTTGCTCGCGTTTGTGAAGCCGCTCGGGCACCAGGCTCAAGTCCCGCTGGGACCCCACGTCCCCGTTCCCCACAGCGGCGGCGGGGCAGCCCGTGACCTCCATCTTGAATTCCAGCTTCCTCTCCCCACCCTTCCTTCCTTCCTCGGGGTGCGCCCTCCGTGACACCGCCCACCAACGCGCGCTGTGATTGGTCGATAGCGCTGACGTCAGACCCGGGGCTTATCCTCTTCGCCTATTGGTTCCTCGCCGGGGGGCGTGGCAGTAGGCCGGGCGGCCTGACAGGGGGGGTGGGGAGACAAAGGTCCTTGTGGATGGGTGGGGTGGGAGGCAGGCGGGGGAAGCTTTTTTTCCTCTTAAAGGGGCAGGACTTATATCCGGGATTGTGGGGTGAGTTGCAGCAGCGGCAGCTGCACATGTGGGTTTGTTTATAAGAACAAGGTTAGAAACTCGCAGGCCTCCCCCTCCCCCCAGCTCCTCCCCACTACCCCTTTACAGGCCGGAGATCGGCTCCTGGGCGGTGGGGAGCAATGGTGTGCTTGTGCCGGGTGGGGGGACAGGCAGTGGTGAGGAAGATGGAGAGGGGGATTGCACCTCCCGGCCCGCGCCGGAGGAAGCGACAGCTGGAACAGCTGGCTGGGGAGCGGCTTGCATGCCTGCGGTGCTTCCCTTCCCTTCCCCCACCGCCCGCCGCCCGGTAACCTGCCCTTCCCGCCCTCCCCTATCCACGACGGGGCTCGACGCGGCCAGGGCTCGGGGTCCCCGCGGGGCCCGGGGTTCGGGGTCCTCGCGGAGGGAATGACGGGCTCCTTCCTGCACCGGGCCCGGATCCCCGAGTGCGTGGCCGGTGTCGCCGCGGGGAAGGTGGGGGCGGGGCGGACGAGGCTGCGCCCTGGACCCGGGTCTCCCGGAGCCCCACCCGAACCCCATCCCCCCAGCAGGGCTCCTCGCGGAGACCCCGGCCCAGGACGCGCCCTCTGCACGGCGGAGGGCGGCGGCGCGACCCGCGGGGCGGTGGGGGGCGCTGTCGCCGGAAGTGGCCGCGCCGCGGGGGGGGGGGGGACACGACTGGTTCCCCGACAGCTCAGCCCGCACCGGGCCTCCACCGCCCGCGCCTCCGGTCTCCCCACCCCGTCCACACCCCGTTCCCAGCCTCCCTCGCTCTTGGTGGGGATGCTGATCGGCCGAGAGCTGTCCCTGGAAATGTCCCCGTGCACCTGCTTGTCCATGCTGGGAAAGCTGGGAGGAAACCCGAGCTGTGGAATTAAACCGAAATTTAAGACTCATCCCAATATCCATGTCCCCCTGCCCTCCCTTTCCTAAGCATTTTTTAAAATGCAAAAACCAAAACGCACATAAATTTCCGGGTTGATGAGAATTTATTATTCTGCTGAGTCAGCACAGGTCACACCGTGTGGCAAATTCCGCGCGGGGCGGGGTAGTCTCGCGTGTGTGAAGCCTGCGTGTATGCACCGTGTGTGTGCCTGTGTGCACTGTGCGTGCACTGTGTGTGTGGACCATGTATGTGCACGTGTGCACCGCGTGTGTGCACCCGTTGGAAACCTGGTGCTGAAACACGGCAGGGCTTAGGCTGGAGTCCTACCTTCATCGTTTTCACTCGTCCTGTTTCATCGGTAAGATAGGTGATGCTTTGGGTTTTGCCCCCGCCCCCCACAGGGGTGGTGAATGAAACTGTAACGATCTCCAGGTCATATGGGAGAAAGCAGTAGATGCTCTCTTAGGAAATGTAGATTTAACCAAAGGTTTTAGAGCTGATTTATTTTGTTACAGGTGGGTGGGGGCATCTGACTTGCTTCTCTGAAGTTTCTCACTAGCTGACCCTGTCCCATTCAAATTAAGAAGTTCATAAGCAAAGGGGGTTTCTTGGGCTTGGGGGTTGTAACGGGAGTGAGGTGAACAGCGAGTGGATGGGTGGCTGTGAGTGTGGAACTTAATGTCATTCACCCCCACAGGGACGTCCTTTCTGCCCAGCAGTAGAATTTTGCAATAGTTCAGTAGACTGGAAGATTTTGATTATTTTAAGTTGGCTAGTGTGAACTTTTTTTTTTTTTTTTTTTTTTTGGTACCGGGGATCCAACTCGGAATCTTGCTCTTGTGAGGCAGGCACTGGAACCACTGAGCTAAATCCTTGGCCTAGTGTGAACTTTTAAAAGAGAAAGAAGCAGTAGAGGAGAAAAATTGGCAGGTAACCCAGTTGAGCTCCTGTGCTGGGGGGAGGCCGGAGTGCAGTGGCCAGGGTCAGGGTGAGGCTAAGTGTGGGCTTGACAGTCCTTACATCCCTGGCACCCCTGCAGGCCAAGGTAGGTGGTCCCCTACCCCTAAGGCCTGGCAATAGGAAGGCTGTGAGGGCCTGGCATCGCCAGCTTGTGTTTTCGGCCTCTTTCTGACATTTGGGGGCAGTGGAGCAGGCGAGCACCCCTGAAATGGATCCCAGCACCTCACAGGTAAGTGTCCATCACGCTGGAAAGAAAGAGGGATTTGCTAGAACAGCATCTTGTCAAGGAAAGACCTGTGAGTCAGGGCTGCTCTCTGATAGAGGTCTTGAAAGATGAAGGAGTACTAAGGTGCTATAGATGGTAACATTTAATTAACAACAATTTAGATACTTTTGATTCTGTTTATTAATCAGATTTACTTTTTAACTTTCTGGAAATTTCCAATGCTAATAAAGTGGAAAGAGTGTTACAAAAAGTCATACTCACTACCCAGTGTCAACAGTTACCAACTGGCAATCTTGTTTCTTCTAAAACCCTTGTCCCATCCCACCTTAATTATTATTGTTGTTGTTGTTGTTTTGTTGTTATTTGATTTTTTGAGACAGTCTTGCTGTGTAGTTCACGCTGGCCTGGAACTCACTATGTAGCCTATGCTGGCCTCAAACTCTTGGCAATCCTCCTGCCTCAGCCGCCCAAACACTGGGATTACAGATGTGCACCACAGTGCCCCACTTTTGTTTCATATTTTACAATCTATAAATATTTCATTATGTATGTACAAAAAATTAGGATTTTCTTTTAAACATACATTATCATCACACCTCAAAAAAAGTCCTTAATAATTCTAGTCCTTAATTCTAGTCCATCATAATTCTAGTCCATATTAACACCCCTCTGATTATCTTATAATTTCCTTTTTCAAAAAGCTATTTTACCTAAGCTGGGCATGGATCACCATGCCTGTAATCCCAGATCCTCCTGAGGCAGGAGGATCATGAGTTTCTGGGCAATTTAGCAAGACCCTGTTTCAAAATTTTAAAAAAAAATTATTTTGTCTAAGAATCCAAACAAGTTCTGTGGCATATCCTAGTTGTTAGGTCACTTAAGTCCCTTCTCCTGTGTGGGTCCCTTCCTCTGTTGATTGTTTCGTTGGACACACTTGGCCATTTGATAAGTAGAATCCTAAGGTCTGGATGTTGCTGGTTGCCTTCTCTTATAGTGTTTGTTAGATTCATGTCTGTGTTGTATTTACTTGATCTTTGAATGTCAGAAAGTGATCTCCTGTTGGGAGTCATTTGCTGGAGGAATAAGTAGGCTGGTAGTGGAGGATTTAGGACCATAAGAGTGTCTCTGGGAGTGGGTGGGTGGTGCAGCAGTAAGGTCCATGGTGGTCTACAGAGTTTCGCGGAGCCCTGGAAGGTGGAAGATGCCACCGTGTTGAGAGAATTGACAGACGGAGCTGGGCGCTGGTTTCTAGTGCAATGCCAGAAAGAGGCATCCCTGGTCGGTCACGCCCTGAATTCTCGAAAGTGTAAAGTGCCCACGGGGGTCTATTCATTGAGTTAGGGCAGACTTTCTACCTTGGCCAAGCCTTCCTACCTTGGTTGCTGGCTTTTCTGGCCCAGACAGTGAAAGGTGGCAGCTATGAAAGACTGTCCTGTGGTTTAAAAGGCTCCACACTCACCGGGAAGCAGGACGCAGCTTCCTTCTGCTGTTGCCCTGGTTCTCCTCCCCCTACACACTCTTTACCTCTCGGAACCTTTTCCTCTTTGCATACTTGGTGTCCAGCTCTGGGTGCCACCTGCTAATGTGCCAGCACCGAGCCAGGTGGCTCTGAGGCTACCAGAGGGAGAAGGCCACACAGAGGCCCTGTGTGGGCCAATAACCACACAAATGTACAACTCCATCGGTGACAACTGACAGCTCACAAAGGAAAGAGGCTGGGGGTGGGGGTGGAGCCGATGCCTGCAGGGTAATAGGGAGGAGTGGGAGGAGCAAAGTGGGCATCAAATCCCAGTCACTGAGAGCTTGGGTGAGAGGCAGCCAGTGGGGCAGGCGCACCTGCAGTGGTACCTGTGGCCTACAGACAGGACATCAGAGTCACCCGCGGACGCTCCTTCCTTTCCCTCACCCACCCTGGCCACAGTACTCTCAGTTCTTTCTCTGACCCCTGCTGTCCCTCCATCCCTCCCTCTGTTCCTCTCTGGTCTGGCTCCCTCTCCCCAGGCCTGGCTCCCTCCTCTTCTCCTCCCTGGGATGTCAGATGTCACTGTCATCCCCCTGCCCCATACTTTGCTGAGTCCCTCCAGTCCACCATGCTGCAGCCAGTCACTGCCCTGAAATTCAAAGTTCTGCAGTACCTGTCCTCTAATAGTGTCCTGACTCCTTAGTGAGGTGACCAGGCCCTTCCCAGCCTGTCCCCAGAGCACCGTACCACCTCTCCCACCATTGCCATTGCCCTAACCCAGAAATGGCGAACCTTTCAGAGCTTTCAATGATAACAAACAGCTGGCTGTGGCACGTGTGCCGGCGGTTTGCCACCACTGGCCTAACCCTAATCCTTACCCACTCATTTCCTGTTGCCCACTCTCCTTTTTTTGGTATTGAAGATTGAAGCCAGGGCCTTTGCACTGAGCTCCACCCCAAGCTCTTTTTATTTTATTTTTTATTCTGAGACCACGTCTTGCTAGGCTGCTAAATTGCTCAGGCTGGGCTCCAATTCTTGATTCTCCTGCCTCAGCCTCCCAAGTGCTGAGATCACAGATGTGACCACCACACTTGGCTCTGGCTGCACTTTAAAAATTAGTAGTGAGCCCATGTGAGGTTCTCTGCCAGTGACATGGGTTTGCTGGTGAACACAACGTAATTCACTTATTCACTCATTTATTTTTCTTCTGCACTATTTATAGTGCACGCACCACGCACTGTGTCACCAGGAGTGTTGTGCATGTTGGGCGTGCAGCAGGGAACAAGAGAGGCGGGAAGTTCCTGGCTCCCTGGCAGCAGTGCAACAACTCTGTGCTTCCAGCGGCAGAATGGGCAGACCGGCAACCTGGCCCCAGGGTGCCCCTTGGCACGGCACAGAGGATCCTCACCATCCTGGTGCCAGTTCCCTCCCTAGACTAATTAAAGCTGAGTTGCTGGGTGTGTGGCCTTGGCATTATAAAAATTTATTTTCCTGGTGCCAGGGACAGCACCCAGAGCCTGGCACATGCCAGGCAAGTGCCTGGCCGCTCAGCCCCATCCCCAGCCCATGTGAGGTTTTTAAAGCTCCCTGGGGGTCCAGGGAGGCTGGAAGTGAGGACTGGAGACTCAGAACTAGAGCAGCAGAGGCCAGCACCCTTAGGCCTTTCTGGGGACCTGTGCCTGGATCTTGGAGGCCCCAGACCTGGAGAAGTCAACAGGATGGTGACAGCAGGGCAGTATTTGTCCTTTTGCCCCTTTCCCCAGAAGGGAGCTGGGTGCTCCATGCAGAGCAGATTCAGATGGAGCTGAGCAGTCATTAGGAGACTGTCCAGGGCCTGGAGAAGAGGCTGGAGGGGCTGTGTGGTGGGGACAGGATCCAGGAGTCAGGTGCACTGGGCTGTAGGGATCCTGGTGCCTGAGACAGTGGCCCGGGCAGCAGGTGTGCCGACTGTGGGGTGCACACTAGTCATGCTGCGGGCTCCTTGTCCCCGGCCTGTGACCCCTGCACATCTGCACGCCAAGGCGAGTGCTGTCCTACACACTGCCACCCCTGTCCATTGTCCCTTTGCAGCTGTCTCTAGGGGGCTTGCACTGCGCCACCAGGAATGGGCTTGATTCTACCTCCTGCAGCACCTGGGATGCAGAGAGCACAAGTGGCACTTGTTAAATAGATGTGTTGAGGGGTGGAGAGCTGGACCGGAAGCAAGGCTTTCCCAGGAGTGTGAAGAGAAGTGGGTGTGGTGGTGTAACCTGTCATCCCATCACTTGGGCGGCTGAGGCAGGAGGATCATCTTGAGTTCGAGGCCAGCCTGGGCTATATAGTGAGTACATAGTGAGGCCCAGGTTGGCCTGGAACTTGCAGTGCTGGGATTACAGGCATGTGCCACCATGCCCAGCTTA